AAGAAATTTTTTAATGCTTTATATAATTGTGGTATTCAGTATTGGTGTTCTTGTAAGGTATAGTTGGTGAAAACTAGAATATCACATTTTCGTCCAAAAGAAACTATTTGGCAGTATACTGTACTGTTGGGCCCGTTGTTCATAAGCCTGTGTATTTTGGTTGGTATTCGTTAAGTCATGGGCAGATTCACAAGGAATGAGTGGTGACCCGTGCCATCATTGATATTATTCATCATAGTGTAAAATGTTTTATTATCTTTTTTTTTTTGAAGTATATAATATTTATATACGGCAAATGCAACAAATAAACTCACACACCCTCCTCACATATGATGAGGTTTGAACCCTTGAAGGGCTACGATATCGCTAGGTCAAAGACCCTTTGATATGTTTTCTTATCCTTAATGGTGTTATCACTGTGATTCGTTTTGTACTACTATTGGTCATCGTCGCTAGAAAACTAATTAATTATATTAATGAATCATTTTTTTTATTTCTTGGAAGAAAATGAAAGTAAAACAGAAAAAGTTAACAAGCGTTAAAAGGAGTGACCGAAACCAATAGTTTTTGCATACCACAATGGTTTGATAGTTCGATGGGATCTGGTCTATTAAAAGAAGCTTAAAACGTTTTGGATCAGCGCGAACACCCCTAAAATTGGACTAAACAAACTGTAGAGACGAAAATTAAGAAAATGGATAAAACATATGGATTGTGAGGTTTGAAATGAATGCCTAGACCGATCGAATTAGATCATAAAAAATGCAATTGGCCTGACCGCTTAAACCGCATATTGAATCAGACCACCTAGTTTGGCAATTTTCCAGACTGCACCAGACTTTCAAACCGCCAAAATTGTCTGGTATTACAAATTCATCGATTTTTTAACACCCCTATCCAATTTTATCGTCGTAGTTTACCATTTTGCTCATATTTGATCCCTCACACTAAAGACTATTAACTTCAATCCGTAAGTGAGGGGCATTTTAATCTTTTTATAATGGTGTGTATATATATATATATATATATATATATATTTGTGTCTGTATGTATGTGTATGTGTGTAATGTAATACCTGATCTATTAAACTTTTATGTGTTTTAAAGAACATGAGAGAAAATTTAGAGAACACCAAAATTATTCCCTTATTTAACAGACGGAAGTTAACAATTCTTAATAAGATGGACTACAACTGAGCAAAATGGCAAATCATGATGGCAAAACTGGAATAAACAAACCGTAGGAACTAAAACAGTAACAGTAACAGTAACAGTAACAAAACATAGCGACTGAAAATGCAGTTTACGATTTTATATGTTTGTAATTTACATCGAAGAAAACAAAAACAAATTTTGCATATCAATTTAATTTATAATATAACGAATGAAAAGCAAAAAAAAAAAAAAAAAAAAAAATTGAAGCACATTTTAATTTATAAAATTAGATATTTAATTTGAGCTTGTAATTAAGGAAAAAAATGATTTATGAAAAAGCTACAGAGAAATGCTTTTCAAATAAAAAAGCCCGCCCTAACTTTTTTATTAATAAACACCTATTTTTACAAACCTTATTTTATGCAAAAACATTATCAATTGACACATAAGTTGTACTTTTCTTACGTGTTTTTAAACCCGTTTTTATTCCCGCGTCTCATCGACTGTTTTAAAAGAACGAGAAAAGAAGTGACGGAATTACCCATGTCTTTAAGGTGGATCTAGTTGGTTTGATAGAGAAAAATGTCATGCATAGAGGCAGTCGTTTTTTTCTCTCTATATTTCCTTGTTACCCTTTTTGTAATCATGGACGGACTCTGATCTCATCATCTTCAACAATGATACATGTATGTGCATACAATGATGACGTGGTTTGTTCAGGAAAATGCTAAACACACCGTCCTTATCTAAATACACTACCAATCGGCATAAAATTGTACTTTTCTGACACGTATTTAAATTTCATCCTACCGTCCTACCCAAGGTTTTACAAAAAAACAAGTGACATGAATACCGATGTCTCTAAAATCGGGTTCAATTGGATTGATAGAGGGAAAGTCACGTGTAGAAGAAAACTCAAAAGAACATCTGATTATATATTCTCAATAAAATCAAAATTGCCGATTTCAAGTTTAATTAATAATCTTTATCAAAAAAATAAATATTGCAAGACATACTGATAAAATATATTACTGTTTTTATTTTATATTTGTAATATATGTTATAAGTATAATTTATGTTGTAATAATAGAAAAACTATTGAATGCAATTATTTTTTGAAGATTTTTTTTAATTATTTATTTTAAATAAATTTTAGAAAACCTATTGAAAATACTTTTACAACTCCCTTTGTTTATGTATCGTTTTAGGGGTGTGGTAAATACATCCCTATTTTGAAAGTGTTTTTAAATAACCATTTATTGGTTCATCTTTGAGAAGAAAATTAATAGGTAAAGATGTATTTAACAATATATAAAAGGTGTAAATGCAATTACCTACTAATTTCCTTCTCACACATATCAACGTCAGAATTTCTTTTTTATATTTTAAATATTTAATTTGACTAGATTTTTACATTAAAGAAAATACGTCACCTTTTTGTTACTATGACCTCCATCGACATCAAATTCTAATTTTGGTCAACTTAAATAAATAAAATAAAATCCAAATAACAAGACCCAACACGGCAAACTTGTAATGGATGGGTCATGTGACCATGATGAAAATAATAATGACGTTGACGTGATGCTATTTGCGATCATCACGCGTCCCTCCCAAATTTTATTACTTCTTTTTTCCTAACGGTGTTTTTTACGTCATTTATCAACAAATCGACAATTTCTTATATAATTGTGTTCTCTTTTTACCGGCATCTTCGATACCATTTGTATTACCGGTTTCTATTCAATTGTTTAGTGTTATATCTGTATTTTTTCGATAACATGAATCAATATGTATACAATATTACGATAACGATGAATGGTTTTTAGTTTTAGAAAATGAGGGTTAGACTAAAAGGTCTAGTAATTTATTTTCTAAGCATGATAGTTTAATTTTGAAAGCCAATAAGTCAAAATATCTTTAACGATTACATAATATCTTAATGATTAAACAATGGATACCTAGCCACACTTTAGCAACGGGTGCACACTTATGGTCACGCAACCCTGTGACCATACTTACTTGAATACACACCTGCCAATAATGTACGCACTTTAAACAAATTCATGTGCTCTACTTGGGTACGCACCTCCCATTTACTCTTGACAACATCACCAAGTTTACTACACTTGGCTAATGCAACATTTGAATATAGAAGCACACAACATGTATTCAGCATATTATTTAGTTGAAACGTGTATAAAAGAGTAAACATTTGCTCCAAAAGAGTAAGAGGAAACTTACCTGAGTTCCGAGACTAATCATACACTCTTAGGCTAGGATTTCACCAACCGAACACCTAAATTGGGGTTACCAAAAGACAAGTTAGAACCCCAAAAATTCCTTCAACTGAACCACTAATAAATCCTTTCGATAATGGCCCACGATACATCCCTAAACTACCTCTCATACGAAGTTGGAATAACAAGAAACAGTAGCTTAAACGACCTGGCACGCGACCAAGTGTCGACGAAATCAAACATCACTAAACTCAATTCCAACGATATAAACAACAGTTAAGGATCCAAACTCGTCCCAAAAGAGTATAGAATCAATCCCAGCCAGTCTCTGTTCCATTCTAATCATTATGATATAATTGATTAACTCATCATTGAAGGAAATCTCCCATTTACAAAACCCTTGGGTAAATTTCCACCCAATTCACCATAAGCAAACTATTGGATATCAAGATCATATCTAAACTTCAACTTAAACAAGTTCTTCAATAAATAGTGTACCACCCTTGAAATTTGAAAATATCAATTAATTTGAACCTCGTTAAAAAACGGTCATAAAACACAAAATAAGAGTAATTATGTGAAAAGGGTATCGATGCTTAGAAGATAGCACAACATAGTACTATAGACTAATAAAGTAAGAATACATAAATCTCAAAACTTGAAGGACCAAAAGTGTGAATTTGAAAATTTACACCAAACATAGTGTAAATGAAAAGACTTGCATCAAATTTGGTTTTTTTGCTATCTATTACTATGTGAATTACAGCGTCTTAACCGAAGACGTAAATGATAAAAATAGTACACTTGCTATATTCACCGGAAACGCTCTAATGTTTGTGCATATGTGTGAAAGTTAACGGAATTCATGCGAAGGTCGGTGCTTTTTTTGGTGAATCCGTTCAAAAACTCACTTTATTTTTCATGTGTGTCACTGGAGTTCCGTTTATTTACGAAAATATGATGAGGTCCATGACAGTATATAAGATGTCACAAGCTTTTGAAACTATTCATTCGGAAGGGAACAATTAATTAAGCGAAAAAAGAGTCGACTTTTGCAGAGTGTGATCATCATCTCAAGTTAAATAAGAAAGAAACAGAAGAGAGAGAGGATCCTCAAAATTAAATTCATCACAACTGCAACTCTGTAGAATGGAATGATGATCCGTAAATGGTCTCCTTCTGTCTCCTAATTTGGGGTTTGTTTGTTTCTAACACCATCTCTTCACCATTTTCATTTGGGAATTTGAGAGGAATTTACTGCTTGAAATTAACAATCGTTTGAGTGATCCAATAATGGAAAATCTGCATCTCGTGCTTGGAGCTGCGTGGTTGTGAGGGATATTCAAAAAAAGAAGACAAGAACAAGGGTAAACGACAACGTTGCACTTCAAAACAAGGGGTTTGTCATCACTCTCTCTCTTCCTATCTCTATCTTGTCGTACTATTGCTTGGTCAATAAGCATTTTGGTAAATCTTTTTAAGTTTTAGACACAAAAATTGCTATTCATAAGACCAGGGAATGTTTTTTTCTTTCTTTCTTCTTTTATATCGCTTTAGTTAACAGTCTTCATGTTTTCTCTTTAACTCTTGTTTTTCCTCTCTGAAAATGGAGCTTCTGTGTTCTTCAATCGCATATACTCTCTTTGATTCAAGAAAATCTTAAGTTTTTCCATCTGGGATTTTCATGTTCTTGAATAAACGTGTCGAGATTTTCGTTTTGTCTTAGATTCTTGAACGAGTTCAGATATTAGGGCTTCAAGATCTTGAGATTTCTTACAAGATTTTGATTTTATGAGAGATTCTTAGTGGAAACTTATCCTTCCTTCCAAAAACCAGAAAATGGATTCAATTAGAGTTCTTCCAGAACGAGTTACATGATCAAATTCAACTGTTATTCTTGCAATATTCATGGATGTTTGAATAGGCAAACAACAAGGGTTCTTCTTTTCTTTCAGTTTTTTTCCTGAAATTTGAAATTTTATTAGCAATCTTCTCTGGTTTCTAGAGTGATGATGGCTGTGAGTTCGGCCTGCAAAGGGGACACAATGGGAATGGATAACGGCAAATATGTCCGATACACACCGGAACAAGTTGAAGCTTTAGAAAGATTGTACCACGATTGCCCAAAACCCAGCTCTCTTCGCCGGCAACAACTCATTCGCGAATGCCCTATTCTCTCCAACATCGAACCAAAGCAGATCAAAGTCTGGTTTCAGAACCGAAGGTATATATCATCTCAAATTTCCAATCATGAATTCTTGATTTTTGAATACCCATTTCATCTCAATTGCATCAAAGAAATCCCATTTTGAACCAGAAAGATTTGGGTCGTAATCTTTTTCGTCATCCAAGATGCATACAAATGGGAACTGCCCTTCTAGACATCCAAGTTCTTCTTTGTGGGTTTTTGGTTAAAACTTTTATTGTTTTGTATATAAAGATGTAGAGAAAAGCAAAGAAAGGAGTCATCAAGACTGCAAGCTGTGAATAAGAAGTTATCTGCAATGAATAAGTTATTGATGGAGGAGAACGATAGGTTGCAGAAGCAAGTCTCCAACTTGGTTTATTCAAACGGCTACTTCCGCCACCAGTCTCAGCCAGCGGTGGCCACCACTGACACCAGTTGTGAGTCGGTGGTGACTAGCGGTCAACACCACTTAACTCCTCAACATCCACCAAGGGATGCTGCTACTCCTGCAGGGTAATTTAAGTTTTACTTTTTTTAATCACATTTCATTAGATTTGTATCTACATATATTATATGAATTTAAATATGAAAAATGTGTTTTTTGTATGTTTTTTAGGCTTTTGTCCATTGCAGAGGAGACTTTAACAGAGTTCATATCAAAGGCAACTGGGACTGCTGTGGAGTGGGTCCAAATGCCTGGGATGAAGGTTCTTTGCACAAACTTTAATCACTGTTTTCAAATATTTTAATTGTGTTTAATTATTCCATTAACCTTTAATTAATATTATCCTTTAATTTAATTACAATTCTTTTTAAAGAAACTTGGTAGCCTTCTAATTCACATTAGAATCTCATCATTTGAGTCACTATCCTCCACATTCAACCTTTTTATAGATTTCTTTTTTTTTAAATCTTTAATTTAAATTTTTATTCCAAAAGCAGGAATATACCGTTGGCAATAATTCATGTTATTTAATTTTATTTTCTGGGTTCTGTTAATTTATATGTCATTAAAGAAATGTAGTCCCATTTATTAATTAATTACTAGTATCAAATACTTATAATCTTTAAAAACAAATTAATGATCTTGATTGATCTCAAGTCCTTAACTTGAATCTTGATCATATTCTCAAGTTGAAATAAGCCTGATTTCATTTCTGTGTTTCCAATTTTGCAGCCTGGTCCGGATTCTATTGGAATCATCGCTATTTCTCATGGTTGCACCGGTGTCGCATCTCGTGCATGTGGTCTTGTCGGTCTCGAACCTACAAGAGTAATTTTTTCCTCTCTATATTTTGTTAGAAACCTTAAAAATGCACACGAACACAATATATCCCACCTGGAGGTGGGGTTTGATAAGGGTAAATAAATGTCCGCAGATCTATTTTTCTTCTAGTAAAAAACATGGGATATTGATCTCAGACGTCCTATTTCAGGTTGCCGAAATTCTCAAGGATCGGCCATCATGGTTTCGTGATTGCCGAGCTGTGGATGTTCTGAATGTGCTCACAACCGGGACTAATGGAACCATCGAGCTGCTTTACATGCAGGTTAATTATCCCTTGTTTCAATACTCATTGCATATATACCTGAGATCCTTTGACACATGGGGTAAGAACTTGATGGTTTGATTCTTTTGTATGTTGATGTTTTATAGCTTTATGCACCAACTACTTTAGCACCGGCACGCGACTTCTGGTTGTTGCGTTACACATCTGCGATGGAGGACGGTAGCCTGGTGGTACGTGTAAAACGATTTTATTTGTTATTTGTGTTCTATTTGTTCATTTTAAGGAAATCATGTTAAATGACTTGGATTTTTTTAACAATAAGATTTGCGAGAGATCACTGAACCACACGCAGAATGGGCCTAGCATGCCGCCGGTGCCTCATTTCGTGAGAGCCAAGATGCTTCCTAGTGGATACCTCATACGACCCTGTGATGGTGGTGGCTCGATCATTCACATTGTTGATCATTTCGATTTAGAGGTATGAGAAAAGGAGAATTGCTTTTAAGTGCGATAAGCGTAGCTGCATTTTGTTTAATTAATGTCGTCTAACATCATTTTACTCCGTATCATGTAGTCGGCACGTGTTCCCGAAGTTTTACGCCCTCTATATGAATCATCAACGTTACTTGCTCAGAGGACGACAATGGCGGTATACATGATTCTTTTGACATATTTTAATTTTTTTAAATGAGTGCAAAATGCTAATCTTTGCGGTTTCTATGGACCAGAATGAGTATTTTCTTTATCGGTTTTTTCTTGATCTTAGGCTTTACGGCAGCTGAGGCAGATTTCACAAGAAATTTCTCAACCGATGGCCGTTAGTTGGGGGAGAAGACCGGCTGCTCTTCGTGCAATTGGCCAAAGAATGAGCAAGTAGGTTCTTTCTATCATGATATCCAACTCTTAATTTTCATGAAACACGAAACCTAAAAGATTTTGATCTTTTGCAGAGGTTTTAATGAAGCCATTAATGGTTTCACCGATGAGGGTTGGTCTCTGATGGAGAGTGATGGACTTGATGATATCACCGTTCTTATAAACTCGTCTCCTGATAAGGTTATGGGGGCGACTCCAATGTATGCTGATGGATTTCCATCAATCAGCAATGGCGTGCTGTGTGCTAAAGCTTCAATGCTCTTACAAGTAAGTTTGATGCTGGAAAAGGTCGACAATTTCACTCATGAAAACCAATTCTGATTGTAAACTTGTCGATGATTTGAACTTGGTTTCTTTGTAATTTGGCAGAATGTGCCTCCGGCAATACTTACAAGATTCTTGCGAGAACACCGTTCAGAATGGGCAGACAGCAGTATCGATGGTTACTTGGCTGCTTCGGTTAAAGCTGGTCCGTGTGGCTTACCTTTGGCTAGATCCGGAAACTTTGGTGGGCAGGTTATTCTTCCTTTGGCTCATACCATTGAGCATGAAGAGGCAAGTTGTACTCCTTACCTCAAAAATGATTAACAAGACTTTATAAAGTTTGTAACTTTTGCGGATTATTGATTCGGGTTTCCTTTTTGAAAGCAGTTTATGGAGGTTATTAAGCTCGAAAACATGTCTAATTATAGGGCGGAAGACATGCTCGTGCCCGGGGATATCTTCTTTTTGCAAGTAAGTGGTACTCTTCGGTAGCCTAGCTAGGTCCAAGCCGGACAAATTAGATGATGGGAAACGATATAAACAGATGAATCCTAATAACGATCTCTTTTGTTTCCCAGCTCTGTAGCGGAGTTGACGAGAAGGCAATTGGCACTTCCGCTGAACTTATTTTTGCCCCGATTGATGCTTCTTTTACTGACAATGCGCCTCTACTACCTTCCGGTTTTCGTATAATCCCCATCGATAATACAGCGGTAAAGTTCTACCCTTGGTAGATTTCTTTTTTGGGGTAAATGTAAATCAAGGGTTTTGTTTTTAACTTTTCTTGATTTACACAGATTTACCCAAGTCAGAATCCAACACGTGACCTTGCATCGGCTCTTGAGGTGGGCCCGCTCGTGAACCGAGCATCGGCAGATTACCTCGGCCAACGTGGGCCCACAAAATCCGTTATGACAATAGCGTTTCAGTTCGCTTTCGAGAGTCATCTTCAAGAAAACATAGCAGCCATGGCGAGAGAGTATGTGCGTAGCATCATATCGTCGGTCCAAAGAGTCGCTTTGGCGCTCTCACCTTCGCCTTTTGGCCCTCGAAACCTACAAGCCCCATCTGGCACCCCTGAAGCTCAGATGCTAGCTCGTTGGATCTGCCATAGCTTCCGGTGAGCCATTTGATTGGTAGTACTTTGTGCAACTTAACTAATTGTGCTTAGATCATAAAGAAAAAATGATGATCTATTTTCATCCATATATAGTTGCTTTCTTGGCGAGGAACTGTTCAAAACTGTTGATGAACGAAGTGATTCGATGCTGAAAACACTTTGGCATCATTCAGATGCCATAATGTGTTGCTCTTTAAAGGTAGTGTTTCAATTTTATTTTCTGTGTCGTATTTCGTGCTTCTAGACAGAAACCTTCATGTCGAAAGATTGTGATTGTGCAGGCGGTGCCAGATTTCACGTTTGCGAATCAGGCAGGGTTAGATATGCTCGAAACTACATTAGTTTCACTCCAAGACATTACTGTTGACAAGATTCTCGATGGAGGTGGAAGAACGAATGTTTGCTCCGAGCTCCCACAGATCCTACAACAGGTAAAGAATTATCCCGAAAAGTAGTGCAATTTCCATATTCAGATAAACGGAGTCGTTTGCATAGATAGCTTATGGTTTGGTTTGTGGGTTTCAGGGTTTTGCGTGTCTTCCGGGTGGCATTTGCTTGACGAGCATGGGAAGACCTGTGTCGTATGAACGAGCCATAGCTTGGAAGGTATTGAACGATGAAGAAATCCCGCATTGCATAGCGTTTGTGTTCGTGAATTGGTCTTTCATATAGTTTAATCTCAGAAAGTCGAAAGAAAAGAGTCCTATTTTTAGAAAGACTAGGTTTAGAAAGCCAGACATTTTACTACACTACTCTTGCATTGAGCTTCTATATATAGATCTTCCTTCCTGTTTACTTCTCCAGTTTAAACATTATTCTTGAATTATCTTGGTTTCTTTTGCTACAAGTAAACTGTCGAAGAATAAAGATACCGAGTTCATATAATCAATTATAACCAAGAAATAAAATCTTTTTTATTAGAATTAATAAAGAAATAACATATATTTGCTTAAAGAAAAAAGTCACTGAATATCTCTGCACGCCTGATAAAATGTATATTTTATAAATATTACTATTTTTTGCATGGTTGCCATGCGGAACTCATGTAAACTTGTTAAGAATCTCAAAACCATATATATATATATATACACACACACACTTTCTGTCTATATATATATATATATATATATATATATATATACAACTTGGAACGGAAACGGATAAAATGAAATATAAAGTCGGTTGAGAAAAAAATGTGCCAAAATTCGAAAGTTATAGTGCTTAAGGGGAGAGAATGTAAGTAATAACAAAATTCAAGGATCTATTTTGCCAAGTGAATGTTAGATATTCGGTTGAAAAATATTTTAACAGTAAATATTTAAAAAAAATATGAATTTTGGTATACTTTTTACTTCTTAATATTTTTATTAAAGTAAATATTTTAAATGTGTAACTTTCAATATAAAAATTAAACCCAAATTTTGATCGGTTCCGTGAGATGGAACGGCTAAGCTTGTCCTTTTATTTTTTTTTTCAAAATGTATTTTTCCTTATTCTCAATCTGGTTGTAGAAATCATGGATAAACATTCTTAGGACCGTACATTAGTAACTTAATAAGAGTTCCAACTTATTCGGTAAGCTATACATGATCATTTGATAGTAGCTTACTGATATAGAAAATGGTTCATTCAGTAAGCAAGTTTATACAAAAAGCCAAGGTTTTTTCAAAATCAATCAAAAATCAGACTCCTTTCACTTATAAAATCAATCAATACAGACAGATTAATCTGGACCAACTTAGATGGATAGTAATGGCACCCCTGTGCTTGATAATTAGACGCTGTTACCAATATTTGAAGAAACCATGAATTCAAAAAAAATTCTTTTTACAAAATTAGATCTTTCTCAACATTCAAAAGTCAAGATACATTCATTTTCTCAAATGCAACACCACACAATCAACGCATCAAGCCACATAAACCACGGTCGAACACAAAATTCCAATGATACAAACTGCAATCTTTTACCATAACTCTGATCTGATCCCGACAGTTCTCTAAATGCCACAATATTTGAGTTGGGAAAAGACGGTCAAGAACCGCTAGCAACCAATCCGAAATCATATTGACAATGTTGCTAGATGATTCATAAACAGCGTCTAGATATATATATATATATATATATATATATATATATGTCGACAGAAGAATGGCGTATCTAATACTCCGGCTGGCAACACAGTCTCTTCAACCCAACACTTTCCTGAAACACAACAAAGGTTTTATAAGATGTTAACCATAACTCATACTGCTGCATGTTGACTTTTAAGATCAAACTTGTTTCATTGCAAACAAACCATCTGTGTCAAGTTCTTGCAAACAATATTCTTTTTACGTTCACATTTAACGATAGTTTGCAATGAATCAAAAAGTTCATATCCCAAAACCATGATGTTACTTTGTTTTCTTACCTCCGAGTTATCATGCTCGTATCGAATAAAAAAAATGCATCTGCAGCCCCTTATATCATGCAACTTTCGTTGAATATCTATAACTTGAGCATCGTAGTATCTTGCTTGATCTGTTTTCTCCTGATAATGGACCAAATGACATCAAAGATTAGCGTAAAAAGATAGAATTACATTCAAGACTTTGCAAGTTCTGCAGAGCTTACTGACTTGGAAGCAAAGTACAATATCTCCGATCATGATTTTATTGCATTCAGAGTGCTCAAGAGGGACAGATCGTAAACGCACATTTTTAACAGGGACCCATTCATCCTCTTCTGTTCCAAAACCAATATATCTTACAAGAACTTCCTGAAATCGAAGTTAATTATGACAAGTTAATTTATTTCAACATTCATGTTCTGCATGATGCAAGTGTTGAAAAAGAATCTAAAAGATCGAGCACTAAAATGATTAGTTTTCTTAAATCAGGCGACTTTGCTAGAAGGTTTTAACTTATATATATGTTCACACAATCTAAAAGTAATTATATTTTATATTAACATGAACAATGATTAAGGCGCTAGAAGGTTGCTCAACTGCCTAACTGTACTTCACTCTTTCTATAACAACGAAAAGGATAGAATAAATAACAAAAAAATTAATATAATACGAAATCTAGGTGATCAGTCGAAAAAAGATGAAAAAAAAAAAACAAGCCTCTTTTGATGTCAATTTCAAAAGCATTAAATGAACTTTCAGAAGGTAAAAGATATGAACTTACGGGTTCGCCTGAACTAAGAAATCTGTGTGTAATAAAAGTCTCCACATCATACCTGCAAAGCACAAAAATGCATCAAGAAAAGACCGACATTTTGGCAGCATTGCGTCTCTGCTTGAAATCCAACCCATTTAAACTAAATTTCCTTTAAAGTAATATCAACTGTAGAGCCTTCATGCTATTTTAATGTTAATTTCCCAACATTTCTAAAGAAATTGACACCATAAACCCATTGGTAGGTGATGTTCGAACACGTTGGCTAGCACCTTGATATTAGTTTATTTTTAACATAGCTCATAAAGCTTATGGAAATATGAAGATGTTACTAAGGGGCTGTTTGGTTAGAGATATTAAGCAGTAAATAATAAAAGAAACTGTTTAGTTTTATATAATATAATGGGTTCCTTCCCTCCCTAAATTCACATTCCAGGTTAGCCCTTTGCATTCCCTTGTCTGAACCAAACAGCCCTTAAGATATTTAGTATTCAAGTTCTGATAAATCTTCTTAAGCTTACCAAGCGTCATCCGATGACTTTGCCTCGAACTCCAACTTCGACAGATCTAGAACTTTTTCACCTGCATAAATTTGTTACATGTTATACGTAGTTACATACATACACATACACACACACACACACACACACACATATATATATATAGGGAAAATACTCCCAAAAAAAGAGCAAACAAGACTTCTTCCTCTTCATAATTTTACTCCCCTCACTACAAGAAAAAGAGTCCTTTTGATCTTTGACCTTGTATCTCCCAAATTTAAATGCAACATTATGTAGGCTATTAATCAAAACATGAAAAATACCCCTCAATAATGAAGAAGAAACAGGATAATCTTGTGGACCAAAATCAATGTTCATCACTACTTTTGTAATGATTATTGATGGCAAAGAAGTAGCTTCAGGTTTTGAACTTCACTAAAAAAGAAAATGTTGTATTTATTTTTTGGAGCGTAGGGAGCAAACTATATGCAAATGATATCTCAACAACCAACTGAATCACCTTTAGACATATCAGAAGTCTCATTCATGTTCTTCAAGGCACAAGCTTCTTGGGAAGCTGGCAATTTGTACATGCCAGTAAGCGATGTATCTTTTGACATGAGACCTTGCTGCCTATCGAGGAACCAACTTTGGACCTAATATATGAAAGATTGACGTATAAAAGAAGTGCACAAAGACGATGATATAGTTTTTTTCTTGATATTGTTAGCAAGTATGAAAAAAGAGTACTGACCTCGGTCCACTTTAAAACAGGTTTTCCGGCACGACCTGCAGAACGGCTGCCAAAACCAAAAGAGCTTCAATTAGATTAATAGGGCAAAGCATACTATAACTTATCATATTAAGATTACCGATTTACCCATTATCAATGTTCAAAATTTGGTTTTATAATTTGGGACCACAAGATTCCTCTAATTTCTCTTGACCGATAAGATATTAGATATTTGACAAAAAGAAGTCAAACAATCTCATAAAACTATGTGCCAAATGCCGCAATCTAAGAAGCAAGGGTGCCCTGAGGGTTGCAACCCTTAAGGGATGCAACACACTCCATGCAACATTAATTGTATTCCTAAATTATTGGCCAAGAATTCATAGTGACATGAGAAAAGGAATGCGTAAAAGAGAGTTTTGGTCTTTCTTTTTACCAAAAAGGGATGAAATTCACAATTAGCTAGAAACAATTGTGAAATTAAAAACAAACATACGTTTATGATTGCAAAACAGGAAGAACGAGATGACCCCACAAGTTTTTTTTTTAGAGTTTAGACCATGTATGTTGCCTTTTTATCTTTTACACTCTCTTTTCTGTTGATTTTTGCACAGTTTTTATGTTACTCAAAATTGTTTTCCCCTGTCTCAAGCTACTTACAATCTAGTCAGAATTTCCTAAAGTTCCAAAATTTTCTTTCAGGATTTCCCCTTCTCTTATTTTACAAAAAATAAACTCACAAGCCAAAGATATTCACAGAAATGACCTCTCTTATTGGTAACCAAATAACCAATTTGAGACTATAAATTCCAACTTATTGGTAAAAGCAACAAGAGAAGGGGAAAAAATACAATTCAATAACATGGCACTTCAAGTGGAATCGAATTATTAATCCCTCCATCTCAAAGAAAATGAAGCGACTTCACATTTTAAAGATTCAAACATGGTTGTTCTCCAATTCAAATTCGACATGGACTTTACTACTTTTTACCATCGATGTTTTAGTCCAATTTTCCTTGCATAATAACATGCCGTCACCACCTTGTATAAACCAAAACTGAAGGTCAAATGTTAACTATTTTTTGGATGGCGGGAATATAATAATATCAACAACGAAAACAAGACTACAAAGCTCTATAGTCAAAGACATATAAACAGATTACCAAGCATTGCATGGGTTATGGGGATTGCAAAGGTTGTAACTTGAAACGATTTATGAACATAAAGCTGGAAAAGAAGATGCAGATATTTGTGAAACTCCAGAATAATAACTCACTTGAATCCTTTTGTCAAATTCTTAAAGACCTCTGGACCTAGAGGATGTTCCCCTGATTCCTTTAGTACTCTCTCCATTTTCTCCGTCTGTGAAGTTAAGAATTTACTAATGACTTTACATAAACAAAGATGATGCATGCTTTTCTCTTTCAATTAGTGTGCAAAAAACAATTAATTATACATATTTTCTAAGATGATCAACTGTCGAGTGGAACTAATAAACTAAGAGACAGAGGTATAAACTTTAACACTTCATTGAGAGTCCTAATTTAATGTAACAAAGAACATTATGCAACAAAATGAAAGTTGATGTTGACACAATGCTACCTCCATGAAGTCCATAAGTGCTATAAGGACATTGACATTATCTGTGTAAGTTATATGGAGTAATAGCTTAAAGGGCTTCTTCTGGACTACTAACCTTAACTCCCACTTGGTTGTACATGAGATGTGTGAAAAACTCATGAGGAGAAGTTTCAGAGTCACTTGGTCTACTTTATATGTTTTTGATCCACCAATCCTAGCCACTAGATGACTTCTGATTTCGGTTTTCCTAAATAGGATTAAAAATGAATTTTCTTTGAAAGATCTAATGTTAGTTTATTACAAGCTCATACGAGCCTTTATGAGCTTATCCAAACCATGTCATTTCATCCTCATTTTCATGAACCAGGTCTCTTTTTGCAAAATAGAATGATAAATGGAGATGAGATACGCAAATGGCAATGAGAAATGGAATAAAATCTATAAAATTCATGGAGTATTACTTTACACAGATTCAACACTAAATTTCATGATGTTGGCAATTAAGTAAGGCAATCTAGCTTTTAGGTTGTTGGAATCACAATCAGGATTGAATTCAACAACATTATATACGACTAATCACTAGCCTACAAAATTCAAGAATGTATTTATAAAAAAAATTGACAATTAAACTACATGATGAAATCATTGTATACATATCCACTTCCGATGCTACATTAAATTCACTTAAAGGGTTTCAAAATCACAAAACTTCAACAACGACATGTACAACTTAAACATGGTTTCTCAAAAAAAAAATCAGAATCCCTTACGAAAGCTAAGATACCCAGCTGAAGAACCCGGAAATAGGCAACATGCATCTATAAACAACAGCACCAACGCACCACATATGAAACATAGAATTCGTTAAAATGCCAAAACCCCATCATGAAAGAAACAATGAAATACATGCACCTTCTGCAAAACTACCAACATCAAAATGAATAGTTTGAACAGCTTCAAATAGAACTATAACGAAAAAATTAAATCCCCATGTGGAGAAACTCAATAACAGAGACAAGCATATAATGATTAACCTCGGCTGTTGTAAACCCAGAGAAAACTTTCTTTTCTCCTCTAGAACGAAGACGATGATCCATGTTAGTAGCGGGTTCTCCAATTTGATGCTCGTAAACCCTGAAAAGTTTAAGAATTTTGGTTGATTTCACCCGATTGCTGAACGGTGCTGGGAGGGAGACGAAGGTATTTAATTTATTTGTTTACTAGGGCACTTAACAGGTTGTTTGGGCGCCTTCCGCGCTTTCTGGTTTTTTGCAACCTTTCTAGTAGTGCCTTTGTTGTACGGGGAAAACGTATAGAAGCATTTGGAGAGAAACATTTAACGGGTTTGGAATTACTTATTTGAAATAACTTATCATTTTTTATAAAAATACTTATTATTATAAATCAAAAAAATTTAATTTTTTCAAAAACTTTTTATTACCAGTATAAGTTGTTTATTCAAACACTCAAAAAGTGTTTATAACCAGTGACATACTGAAATAAGTCAATAAATTATTTTGATAAACAATTCCAAACACCCCCATAGAGTAAACTGTAAATTTGGTCGATGGGGTTTGAAAGAGAGAACATTTTTCATTTTTATAATTTTAATACTATAAGATGATATAGTTTTTTTTTTTAAGTATATAATATTTATATACGGCAAATAAAACAAATAAACTCACACACACTCCTTACCTTTTGTGAGGTTTGAATCCTTGACCTCCTATAAGGCCAATGACTCACATATCGCTAGGCCAAAAGCCCTTTGGTACGGTGATATAGTTTGTAACCACATTTCTCTTTAATGATAATTAAAAGATTACGTTAAATAAATAACATTTTTTTATTAACCTGGATATCCAACCTACTACGTGAACCGACTAACACGACCACCTGTTTTGCGGGTAGCCTGAAATCACCGTATTTGAATCTCGCCACAAGGGAATTTTTATTCCTTCTTGACTTTGAACAATGAGACATCCAAACACTTTTGACATTTGAAAACCAAAGTCAAACCAATCAAACACTATTCTTGATTTCTTTGGCTTTTAGCCATTTAAAATTTATTTTGTAATTTTGATCATTATGGTTTCTAATGGAAAAAAAAAAAGACAAACAATCGATAAAAAAAATGAATATGTCAAACCGTTAAGAAAAGAAACTAAATCCCAGCATTTTTACGAATCATGATAATTATTTTGTAATTTTAAAACTATAAAAACAAATAGTATTATTCAAACCATAGGAACCATAATCGTAGTTTTCTCAAATGTTTATTTTATATAAGAATTGTAATTGATGTATATTTTTATAAATATTTTAATTGTGTTTATTTACTTCCTTTTTTTTTCACTCCATACTTAATTTTATTTTCCTCCTAAGTATGAAAGGAAACAAAATAAAATAAATAAATAAAATTAAAATATTTACAAAACCATTTTTCTTAATTCATCTTTCCTTTTCTTATTAGAACATGAGATTTTTTATCTTTTACTTCTTTTCTTTTATAAAAAATTATTCAGAAAATAACATTAGTGTAAATTTGTAAATATTTATCGATAAAAAAAATATATAATTTATTGTTATTCTTTTATCATATTGAACATTTGCATAATGTATAATCTCCTTTCTGAGTTTAATCATGAAAAATTAATGTAACATTTTTATTTTCTTAAAGTATATATATAATATTTATATATGGAAATAAAACACAAATACACACCTTATTTTTACAGTTTTATGTGCTTTTTCACATAAACTTTGTTAGCAACTCGGTTCTTTATGAGTTTATAACTCTTGTAATATGAAATCACATATTAATCAAATGAAATGGACGATTGAGATTGAGTTGTATTGGTTGTACAAATGTCAAGAGTTGTATAATAACCAACCTCTCTCTCTCTGTATATATATATATATATATATATATATATATATGTATATAGGGTTGGGTTGGGTTGGGTTGGGTTTACGTGAAACAAAAGGTTTTCTGTGAGACCCGTTAGACCAATTTATGTTTATTGATCAATTTTTTAAGCTAATAATCTAATGGTCTAAAATTGCACGGTGACAATTTTGTGATTATTAAGAAGTCACGTGGCGTTTATAAATATTCAGATTGTAGATCTAATCAAATGGTTGAGAATTGGTCTTACGGATATTACGAAAAATCTTTGGTCTCACATGATCCCAAGTCTATGTATGTATGTATATATATCTATACTATATTATAAAGCATTTGACAAAAACTCTTAAAAACCACTTTTTATCCATAAAATACTGTTTATTAATACATATTACTTAAAACTCAAGATTACAAGTAGATTGTGCGTAAATACAACTTATTAAAGCTCCATATTTGAATTCGTGTAACCAACTGTAGATAAATATAGTCAAATAAATAATAAATATCTCATTTTAAATATAAAAAATCTAAAATATAATTAGGATAATCATTGACTTCTAACAAAATATTTGATTATTATAATTATAAAAAATTATATTATTAAACCTAAATTAAATTTACTTCATTACGTTATATGAAATTATAATAAAAAATTTGAATAAAGAAATTACATAAAACAAGAACTTTTTAATAGTTAATTTGATATTAATATCGATATAGTTGTTTCAATTTTTTATGATATTTTCAAATTTATGTTTTATTAAAAAATAAAAACATTATCGTTTTCTCAAAACCGCATAAAACCGTATTATATCGGCATAGGTAAAGAATAAAACGAAACTTAGAAATCGAGATGTATCTCGATGCATTGCACGAGTACCCTTCTAGTATATATGCATTACACGAGTACCCATTCTAGTATATATGTGTGTGTGTATTCGAGAGCTTTTAAACTAAGATTTTAAAACGTACTCACTAGTTCAACTCTTCAAGTTAACCATGGATTCTTACTTGATCTTGTTTATTTTGTGTTAAAGACAATTTTAATACAAAACTGGTTTTGATTAATGCAAAGTTATAATGATTAGACTCAATCTAATAGTAACCTCATTCGAGATGGATGGTCTGGTCTCCAAAGAAATAAAAGAAGAAGTGGAAGACTTTAAGCAATTTTCTGATCATGTTTCCATAAGAACAAGAAAGTGGTGTGAACCAATGTTCCTAATCCTAAGGAATTGAACTTGCCATGCAATCCATAATACACAACATGCTTAATAATTCTACTTATTTAAACTAAAGAGCTAGAAAAGCAAGGCTTAGAAAGATAGTATTTTGTACCAGCGTTTTTTTTGTGTGCCTATATCTGTATATGTGTGTTGGTGTAGTTATTCATACCAAGATGATACAAGATCATAAAAATTAATCCTTTATACCAATATATTTCTACATCAAGAAACATAAATTAAAAGTATTTCAGACATATACGAACGGTTTAAAGAAAATACGTTCCATCATTCCCATCAATTCTTACTTTATGGTTAGGTCTCAATTCTACGATAGATCCATTAGTTATGGAATCAATACTCTTGGTCTTTATTGGTTCGAAGCTCTTTAATTTTTGGCTTATCATTAAGGTTTTAAAACATAACATTTACACATTTACGCATTGTTTCAACCATAATGTTTGGGTTTAAAAAAAAAAAAAATAGAAAATCCAAAATTCAAGAAAATGAAGAAATCTTCAACTGTTGGAGAAAGAAAAGGAAGAAACCTTCAACTCTAGAGAGGAGGGTAACTCTCCTACTTTCTCTCTTAATACACACACACACATAATTTCTACCCCTTGATCATCTCATCACCCTCCTCCTTCAAGATACTCATTTCTCTGATATCATCTCACTTTTAGAACATCACATTCAAAATCAAGATTTCTTGATTCTATACATTTGAACCTGATTTCGCTTTTTTTTTTTGGGTAGGTCATACATTCATTCATTCATTCATGGTTCTTTCTTATACTACCAAAGATTAGACCATATTTTCTCAATCTAATCAGGAATCCAAATTGGGGCTTGTAAAATAACTGATTCTTTTTTGGTGGGTATTGATTTTTAACAGAATTGGGGTGTTGTTTTCAGAGAATTTGTTGAGAAATAGAGGAGCAATCGGTGATGGCGAGTGAGGGTGATGTTGATGATAATGGTGGTGTAGATCAACTGGTTACCCCTTGGAACATGTCTATTTCCAGGTGATTTCATATCGATTAATGGCTTCTTCATCTTCTTCGATCACTGTTTCATCTTACTCAAATGGTGTTTGTTATATATATATATATATATAGTGGGTACATTTTGTTACGAGACCCACACCAGAACAAAGGGCTTGCATTCACCGAAAGAGAAAGAGATGCTCATTACCTACATGGCCTTCTTCCTCCTACAATATCTACTCAAGAACAACAAGTAAATCTCATAGATAAATCCTTATTTTATACGTAAGAATCATCATATTCATGTCTCTTGCTTCACTGTTTGTTTTCTTGATCTATCTATATATACATATATAACAATTAGGTGAAAAAAATACTGCACAATCTCCGGCAATACCAGATCCCTTTGCAAAGATACATAGCTATGATCGATCTTCAGGTATTTCCATGGCGTTTCTTATGCCAAATCAAACGAAAAAGAAAACAGATAATTGGACATAAACACTTTGATCTGTGTATGTATGTTGCAGGAGAGAAATGAAATGTTGTTTTACAAACTTCTGATTGACCATGTGGAGGAATTTCTCCCAGTTGTTTACACTCCAACAGTCGGCGAAGCTTGCCAGAAATTTGGGAGCATTTTTCGCCGTCCTCAGGGACTTTACATCTCTTTAAAAGACAAGTATGATGATTTCATTCCCATTTTCTTGTCGTTCTTTGTGTTCCTTGTTTCTTTTAAAAGAAAAAAGTTCAGGCGGGTGAATCCGCCTGCCAAGATTCTAGTATTTAATCATGCAGAACTGCGTAACTGTATATATAACCAGAGGGCATGTTCGTGAATTGCTGAACAATTGGCCCGAGAGAAACATCCAAGTGATTGTTGTAACTGATGGTGAGCGTATACTGGGGCTAGGCGATCTTGGTTGCCAGGTGCAGCATCAAACTTATGGTGGTAATACATTATCATGGCTGGTTCTAATAGCCTTTTTGAAATATTGCAGGGGATGGGGATACCTGTCGGAAAACTTTCTTTGTATACCGCACTTGGAGGAGTTCGTCCTTCAGCTGTAATTATAATCCTTCGCTTTCAGTCTTTTAGCATTCGAAGAACATCTTACGACTAGATATTCTATGTCTAGAATCCAACCAAGGTTTCTTTCTCTATGTTACAGTGCTTGCCCATAACCATCGATGTTGGCACAAACAATCAGAAGTTGCTTGACGATGAGTTCTATATTGGTCTTAAACAGAATCGAGCAAGAGGGGAGGTGTGTTCTAATTATGTTATTTCCTTTGGTGTTTGATTCAAACTCGAGACATGTAGGTTCTTTTATCCGTTGAACGTAATTGCTTATCTCTTGGCCTAGGAATATACCGAGTTGTTAGAGGAGTTCATGTGTGCAGTCAAGCGAAATTATGGAGAAAAGATCCTTGTCCAGTTTGAAGATTTTGCAAACCATAACGCGTTTGATTTACTCAAGAAATACCGCACAACTCATCTTGTTTTTAACGACGATATACAGGTAATTAACAGCTTTGAACTAGGGCCATGTTTCGCCACCATAAGCTACCTTGTTTCTTGAGCTTATTGAAAAAAAAAAACCTTTGGTTAGGCGTAAGCCAGCAGCTAACTTATCAGCTAGTTTGTCAAAAATAGTCTAAGCCCATGTATTCAGCAAATCTTTAACATAATAAGCAACATTCATCATATGCCACGTTTCTTTCCTTCTTTATAGGGTACGGCATCTGTTGTTCTTGGAGGTTTGCTTTCGGCAATAAAAGTACTTGGTGGCACCCTCTCCGATCATACGTTCCTATTTCTAGGTGCCGGAGAGGTGAACTCCTCACTTGACCACAAAGATGGGTTCATTTTTTTTGTAGCTCTGGGTACCTTCTCATTGTAACTCTCTTTCTTTTGTTTCAAAGGCTGGTACGGGTATAGCAGAACTTATTGCACTCGAGATATCGAAGAAGGTAAAGCGTGGTGTAGCTCTGCTCTTTCTAAACTTCGTGATCCTAATACGTTATAGATACTTGTAACAGACAGATTCAAGCATAGAAGACGCTCGTCAAAAGATCTGGCTCGTTGACTCGAAGGTATGAGAAAAACGCATATACTAGGAACTAGATGATGTTATTAGATATCTACGCTTGACAATTGTGTTTCTTTTTCACATAGGGATTGGTGGTGAGCTCCCGTAAAGAGTCTCTTCAACACTTTAAGCTCCCATGGGCTCACGAGCATGAACCTGTTACGACTCTTTTAGATGCTGTAAAGGTACAAAACCTATATCGTATTACCTGCTTCAATCTCTTCACAAAACATCGCTTAAAAAACCATAACTACATTAACTTCATTTTGCAGGACATCAAACCAACGGTACTAATAGGAACATCTGGTGTGGGGAGACAATTTACACAAGAAGTTGTCGAAGCCATGTCATCTAATAATGAGGTTAGTTTTCTTCCGACATCTAGCATAATAAACGATGGTTCTTCTAAAGAATTCGAGATTGATATGATCAAATGGCATGTAGAAACCTCTCATTATGGCTCTATCGAATCCAACCTCACAATCAGAGTGTACTGCCGAAGAAGCATATACATGGAGCCAGGTAAACTATTATACATATATATATTTTCAAGAACTCTGTATCTAGTTTGTCACGATGGCTTTCTTTTTTGTAGGGTCGTGCTATTTTCGCTAGTGGAAGTCCATTTGATCCCGTGACATACGAAGACAAAATATTCGTGCCTGGCCAGGTCTTAACCTATAATGTGTTCTTTGCTCTGTTGGAACAACTGCTAGTTGGTTCTTACGGTTTCTTAAAAAATGCAGGCAAACAATGCTTACATATTCCCTGGATTCGGGTTGGGATTGATCATGTGTGGTGTAGTTTCCGTGCATGACGACCTGCTTTTGGCTGCGTGTAAGTGAAAAAAACCAACATTTACATCTTTGAGGATTCTAACCAACTATCATGCAACCAATTGGCAAAAAGTCGAGTCAATAGACTTGATAGTTATCATCTAAACAATGCGAATCGTATTTTTAAGATTTATGGTGACTGATGTGACTAATAAAAATTTTCGAACAGCGCAAGGCTTGGCATCGCAAGTAACGGATGAAGACTTGGCCAAGGGAATTATATATCCATCATTTTCGTGTATCAGAAAGATTTCAGCAAATATTGCAGCTTATGTAGCTGCTAAGGCATATGACCTTGGTAAGTTCTTCAGCAGCATAATTGGTACTTCAATATGTGCGTGTGTGTATATGGATACATTCACCCATTTAAACTATGAATTACAAGAACTGTGGATTAAATTGTTATAATTTTATATTCAGGTCTAGCTTCTTACAACCCTCGTCCTGAAGATCTCGTTAAATTCGCTGAGAGGTGCATGTATTCCCCAACGTACCCTAACTATCGGTGATTCGGTCAAATATATTTTAATATTCCCAGTCGTGTTATAGTCATGAACATTGGACGTTATAGCTTTAATTTTTACATGCTTTGCCTTGTCTTCCCGCGGCAAAAGGGTATTTTTGTACTTTGGCTAATAAACATTCTTATCAATACAAGTGTAGACACAATTTGAGCTTTAGTTTTACATGTATTCTTAGTTTCAGCCACCACATTTTATGAAACTGAATATGCCAACTCACTCAAATACATGCAGAAACTATAAAATCATACGAACACGAGATAGATTTGATTGAAGACAAAATAATCGAACATTGGCAATAAGGGAGAAGGGGGTAGATAGATTTGATTGAAGATGGCCAAAAAGATGTCTTGTGGATAAGTATCATAGAGTGAAACTATATAATTTGCAGCAATTTTACTATTTGGTGGAATAACTAGAGAAATAGTTAACAGCTAAACTACACCATAATCCAACTCCCTACAACAATAATCATCCATGATTAGGTACCTTTGAAAGCCATTCATCACTGTTTCTCTTCAGTCTTTTGGTCTTGCATTGCCCCTCTTGCATCTTTCATTGACTGCCCCCCTGCACCCAAAAACCATAATCTTCATTTTGTTGCATTTGCTACTAAAAATACAAGTATTATTATCTCAAGAAACTTCAAAAAGATTAACAACTTTGGAGTTGGGAAGTATATTTGACTTTAGAAGGCCGACTGTGTCTTCTTAGTATAGATCAACCTAAAAGAAGAGAGCAGCTTACCAGAAAGCATTAGCATTCTATCACTAGAGCCAAGCCCATGACTTGAATTTCCAGGGCTGTATAATCTCCCAAGATTATCTTTACTCGACAAAGCAGTTTTAGCGGCCATGATTGTGTCATTCTCACCGCTCACAGGAATAGCCTCACCACCAGATGGTTTTACAGCTGAATTGGGTGAGAAACTTGTCGACCATGATCCTCCATTTGATCCAGCTAGGGCCATTATTACATCTGCCTGAAAGGGGAAAATAACCAAGTTGGTCATACTATGCATCTAGAAATATAAAAAAAAATTAGCATATATCTGACCTTGTTTGGGTGAACATCATCAAACACATGGGCTTGACCGCCATAAAATATGGTCATCTGGCGACTGGCAGATGTAGATCCTTGTCGCCTGCAAACACAAGGATTAAAACCCATAAATCTCTAGTCAAGATTCAGCTTCACTGAACTGAGTCTTAATGCTTACTGAAGTGGAGCAGAAGAGCCTGGCTCGGTATTACTATTCAGAGACTTCTGTTTGCTGCTGCTTGGTTCAGCCATGACATTAACCGAGCTCAAAATCCCAGACCCTTTGATTCCAGTCCTAGATCCTTCATCAGCAGCCGACTGCGAAATCACTGAGGAACCCACATTGGCATCTTTGAATCTGTTTGAAACTGCTTGATACCCGTAAGATACAACTTGACCAACACGCGGAGGATACTGTAGTACAGGCCCAACGTTCACAGGAATGGCTCGCTCCCATTTAGATGCGTTGGCATCAGTTTTACTGCCAGTGGCTGGTTGTACCATTAGAGATGATGCTGTCGGCCTCATTTGATGCACCCCCATGAAAGACTCATCCTCATGGGGCCATCTAGGTCGCTCTGCCCCTACATTTCTCAGCATCTAACCACAACAAAATTTCTAGCATCATGCATTAGAATGGATTCATGAAGCCACTGTGCACTTAACACGTGCTACATACTCTATATGGACAAGGCTTTTCTAGTATAAAATTCGGTTCAAACCCACATGTTCAACAAACATCTTAAATGCAAATTTAGAGTGCATGAACGACTTTGAAAAAAGCATACCTTCATCAAATGCGAGGTCTCAGGAAAGTCTGGTCGCAATTGGGGGATACCGTCTCTTGACGGTGCCATAAACACAGAATCCGAGTTACTGCGTTTATTCCCTGAGTACCGAATCTTGGAGCCCGAAAAATCACCTTTTTGACCAAAGAATGGCACCCCTTCAAAATGTGTTCCAACCTGCCTTTCTACCATTGTTAAAACAAAAAGATCATCAATTATTAACACAAATGTGAGAATTTGCCACACACCCTGATCAAGATTTATGGCATAATCAATTTAAAACACATTCAACGTTGAATCCTCATCATCAATAATTGGTGAATAGGTGGTGCGATTGTTTTTGGATGGATAGAGTAGTAACAATGATGATGACATCAATGGAACTAACCCACTCAGATATACCTAACCCATCAACTTGTTTTCCTATTTTTTTGGCATTTTGAGGTTAAAATTGAATATATATGGGCATAGTCCCTCAGCTAGGTAACTAAATCTAGTGGAAATCATGCTACAATAACTTATATTAAATGAATAAAAAGTTGTACGAAATGTGATCATTTCTCAACTTGCTCTATCATCATTCCCCAATTTTAAATAGCTACCCAATCGTGTGGAAAGTAAAACCAGAGAAACTAAAATCGAAACATGGAAAAAGTGGCTAAGAACCAAAACGATAACAAAAAAACTGAAGGTCTTTAAACATTCAAGAAAAGAAAGAAATGGATTGGAGTGGTGTGGTGTGGTGTTAGTTACCAGAACCCAGATCAGAAGTAGTGGAGACGGGGCCACCACCACGGGCGCCACCACCAGAGACGGAAGCAGAAGGGGAAGAAGCATCGGCGGCGAACTTGGTGGCCGGAGCACATCCACGGCCAAGAAAATCATGTAAAATAGTGGGTTTTACATCATCAGTGGCATTGGTGGTGTTGTTTTGAGCCATAATATTTAACAACAAGACAGCAGCAGCCATAATCTCATCTCAAACCACCTATATTTGCCATCGTCAAGATTTACCAGCAATAATTTGAGAGAAATAAGGGTTTTTTTTTGTAGTGAATATATAAAAGGGAATCAAGAGGGAGAGAGAAAGAGAGCATTAAAGAGCAAAAGCTACTTGTTGTTCTGCTGGTTGCTCTGTCCTAGAGTGTGGATGTTTTGTCTGATCCCTTTTCTGGGAATTCTTCAGAGAGAGAGAGAATAGGAGTTCTCCCTCTGGATGGATCTACTCCTTCAATTTTACGCTTTTACTTTGATCATTACTCCATAACCTGCTCTTTTTTTCTAATTTTTAATCACCCCACTTTACTTGGATCATTACTCATCACCCCTAAACCTTAAATCCTAAAATAAATGTTAACTTGAGTTTATTATATAATAAAGAAAAAATTTCTTTTTTATTATTAAGAGGAAAAAAATATCATTTACTTATTTAAAAAATGTAATAATTACATATTTTTAAAACTGTATTGTCATCTTTTTATTATGCACATCTACTTTTGATCCCCTTACTCTTTTTTTTTCTTTTCTTTTTTTCTTTTTAAGAAGATGTATGGAAAATAGAAAGTGGTTTGAGTTAGAATCATGAAGTGATATTAATGAAATTTATAAGTTTAAATGAAGTCATTAATTAGTAATTGGTAAGGTACCGGTGTTATTGCAGATTGTACAAGTGACACATTAAATGATTGAAGTTATCAAATATTAGGAAATAATAATAATAACTACATCATCATCATCATCATCATCATCATAATCGAGGAGAAAAGAATCTCGCCGTTTTCCCTTTCCATGCCTATTTTCTTAATTAAAATATATATATTTTATTATATATCTGAAAATTTAATTTTATATATATTTCTAAATATATTAAAGTTGTTTTTATTTTATTTTGAAAAAGAGGTGAATGCTGAGATGGGTTTTCAAAACTGATACACTTTTCATTAAGACTCGCTAAGATGATTTTAATTAATATTTCATAAAATTCATGATTTATATTTGATATTTTATATATATTATATTATATTCTTGAAATTAAAAATAGTATAAAATATTAAAAATTAATTGTAAATTTAATGTCTCAGTAAACAAATAAAAAATTATTAAATATACTTTGAATTAAATATAATCTAAAAGTATTTAAAATAAATATACACAAAATTTGATTAGTTTTAACATCTTGACAATTTAATTTTATTTCTTAACAAACCAATAATCATTTTAACTCTTCAATTCTTTTAACACACAAGAATCTAAATAGTTCATATTCAATTGAAAAACAATATTATATTATTAGTCATATGTTATTCGTGTTTTGTGGATGGTAACGAATTTTAATGTTTAAGCTCTAACTTTTATCAAATAATATCATTATTTTATTAAGACATATTATTATATTAATCAAACTTTTTTAAAGAAAATATTATTTGAATGGCATTCATTAAAAACTCTTTAGCAGTACACGTTTTTAATTTAACATCTTTTGACTTGTATAGTGAAAACTAATTTTGTAAATAAATGTTTTGGACCATGGCACGAGTACTTTGCTTTTCCTCCATTTTTTATGTAACGCATGTAGTTTATAACTTTAATTTATTACAATAGAACAGAAAAATGAAAATATGACAACAAGGCCGCTTTTAAATATGTAGTGGATCCTCATTATTTCTAAACGCCAATGTGGATTCATGTTTCTACTTTCGAGTGTGTTTATACGCAAAGTCATTAATAACCAGTGAATTTTTAATTTTTATGAATTTTTATTGATGCAACATTTATTTTTTGAAATTTTTTAATAATTATTATAGCAACTAGCTTTAGACCATGGTTGAATCCATGATTGAGAATAAATGGTTTATAAAATGTGTCTTATTCATAACTGTGCATACGCTCTTATGTAACATAACTACAATCAGAAAAAGGTGTGAAAATACAGAGGGCTTGAGCTTGAGTTATAATTTGCCGTTGTTGTATAAACGAGGGTCTTTCATGTCATTTCTTAAAATATTATATAATAATGATATTATTATCCACAATAAATAAAATAAAGGAGTTGAAAGTCAAGAGTGGAGATGACCATCATTTGTGGTATCCATCATGATTGAGACCATGTATGCAAGCACCAACAGAGAAAAAGGCTCTCATTATGTCAATGAAATCCTAATCATGATAACATAACATCATTGCCCTTTCAAACAATAGCTATATGACAATGCCCATGTTATTCTAAGTTTATTTGAATATTTTTTTTATAATTTTTTTTACAGATTTCAAATATTAATATATTTTTTTTACGTTTTTAATGTTTAGATGTAACCTAAAAAAAGCCAAAATGATACATAGTATACCAAATTCCGTTCTCAAGATCTCAAGTTTTCGACATATTCAATGTTCAATGGATATTCGATGAGATTTTTATTCTCGTGGCACAACCAGGTTGTATCTGAGGCGTGCCACGAGCGAGTTTTGTTGCCGGACTATAATTTGTTTGGGCTAGTCTTTGTTCTGTTATGGGTTTTTTGCATGTTATATTTTAGGATTGTCGGGTTTTTCTACATCTTGTAGAAAAGCCCACTTTATAGTCCCTCTGCCAAAGAATTTCCCAAACCTGATTTCGCCGATATTGAGTCGACTATAAATGCCGGAAAGGTACAAAGTTGGCGTAACATATGGATACTAGGACGATAAGACAATGGTAGACTTTGCTTGTTGTTTGTGTTTGTCCGCCACGATTGCTCGACCAACTGTTAAATCATGGGTTTAGAATTGTTTTTGTATTTGGTTTATTATCAATAAAGTGTTGTTGTCTTAAAAAAATGTAACCTTGTTATTTCCTATAAAATTGTGATACAATTTTTTTTATTAACATGGACATCCAACCCGCTATGCGAGCTGACTAATCTCAGAGCGACCACCTGTTTTGCAGATAACCCAGAGTCACCGCATTTGAACCTCCATGGCCACAAATAGACCTTTATTCCTCCTTAAATTTGAACATGAGACCTCATGATATTTTTGAATTGTAATACAAATTTTGTTTAACTGGCAGTTTGGATAATTATAATACATCAATAACATAAGCAAGCTCTCTTAATTTAACTAGTAGTTTAGATATCTGATTGCTAATAAAAAGCAGCTCACTAAATTATTGTATCAAGTCAAATAGTGTACTCTCTATTAAACAAAAATATCATATATTCTCTTTTTAAAACAAATGTAAAATTATTTATTTTAAAAAAAAAAGGTTACTATTACATCGATTTTATTTCGAAAAATATCTGATTGATTATATATCAGAGTTAAATGATGTTATAGATGCTATTTAATAGTTATTATTAGGGGTGCTAAAAAAACCTACTAACCCAACCCGAAAAAACTCAAAAAAAGCTCAATCTGAGGTGACCCGATACATAGTTGATTCAAAATTAGGTTGAATCGCACCTATTGAGTTGGAATTGGGTTCGGATAATTTGAACTCAACCTAACCCGATGTTTTTCTATTCTATGAAATTAATATAATTGCTAAGGACTTGATTAATATATGTATATTAGAGATTAGACCAATCCGTAATTAGTTATATTAAATTATATTACAATTTCAACTATAATTGTAATTTCTTATTTGTATGAACCTTCAACTTTTCTTTGAGTTTGTTAACCTTTTATGGATGTTCGTATTTAGATTTTACTTCGTTTAAACACAAACACTTAGCTAGATTATAAAATGATATACCAAAATTTTAACCCGACCTATCCAACCCGTACGATTTGGGTTGGGTTAGGTTGGGTTATAATTTCATTTAGGTTGGATTATGTTGAGATTTTTCAAGACGCAAACATTAAGCTAGGTATTTAAATACCTTCAACCCGATGAACCCGACGAATCCAAATATGTGGAGCCCTAGTTATCATCACATGATGGAAAATTTACAACCAATTTGATTCATTGATTTTTTAAGATTCCTTTTTAAAACTTACTAGTATTATTTTTAAATATTAAGTCATATCTTTTTCGTTTCAAAATAAATAAAAATATAAATTTTATAGTAGTTTTCATTTTAGTATAAAATTCTCTGATGTTGCCTCCCGTAAAAATCTGAGCCGTGTCTCAATCCATTTATCTTTAACTCGTGAATTTAGCCGATACAAAGCTATGATCATATAATACTCATATCATGTAATGTTTATATGTTAGGTTTACCTAGTATATAAGTTTACTAAAATGTCATCAATATACAGAGGTAGAAGTTAGAACTATAATTTCTTAAGTAGTAATACAATTTAACTATAAAAAATATCTAAATAATTTTTCACGATATTTCTATAGTTGGTTCCCTGTCCCTACATAAAAAAGACCCATGTTCGAGTCTTATCAACGTATATTTTTTAAAACACAAGAGGTATATTAAAACACCAAAATTTAAATTAAAAACAACGAATTTGACAACAGTGGGACTCCACTCAACCCCATACCTTTTATACAAAGAGAAGAACATTTACCATCTCCGTCATGAAAGTCTTGCGTTAAACTATACGGTCGATGACAACCATTAGAAACGTAATTGTTTTCTTACATTTAAACGGTAACTCATGCCACCGTCTCCTCCTACACAGGTCCACCCTTGCCTATATAATTTATGGTGCATGCGATCGGGTAGGACGGGACAAAATCATTGTCCTACGTTTGGTGCGATATGAGATAGGATAAGAATTCATTGTTACATGTTTGCCGCAACATAGGATAGGGACAATGTCGGACAAAAAAGTTTTTCCTTGTTTTAAAATAGGTGGAATAAGATGGGACAAGTATGAGACATAAACTAAAATATTATTAATTTATTCTCGTTTTATATCTAACTTTAATATGGTTTTTGTTTTAATGGTCATCACCACTAGTTGTAGCTCCCGCAGCCACCGACGGCCACCTCCACCTTCTCTTCCACTACAACAACCTCGTCCACCACCCTCCACAACCACCGTCGGCCAACGACCAACCTCATCCACCACGTCTTTCTATCTGAAATTTATTGTTGAATTGAAGTCTTTCATCTAATTGTTACATAAGGTGAGTTTTTATTTCAAAGTTTTATTTGGAACGCTTTTATAATATTTAGGAGTGGTTTACCTAAATGTTTATGCGGTAAACGTTTATTTTAAAAGTCAATACTATAATTTATTTTATCGGGTAAGATTGTAGTACATCAA